TATCCTGACGGCTCCTTGGTTACTAGTGCCACCATTCAGTCTCCAGGTGCACAGACTTGCTTTCCTCATGCCCTGCCTCGGTAAGAAAAAAGACCTTAAGTATCTCCCATTGCTTAAAGGATAAGCCCACATTTCCACAGACAAGCCTACCTATAATCTGTTCACAGTTCACTTTCCAGCTTCTTTCTTCCCTACCAACATTAACAGCAGCTAATTTATTGAGTGCTTTTCAAGTGCCAGGCGCCATACAAGGTGCTTTAAAAATCTTATTTAGAACACACAACAACCCTATTAAGTAGTTAAAATTATTATCCCCATTTTACAGATCAGGAAATGGGAGGCAGAGAGCTTAAATAACTTGCTAAAGGTGAGAGACAATAAATGAGGGACTCAGAGCTGAAGTCAAGGCTGTCTGATTCCTGTCTGCTACTTCTGAACTGAGTACTTAGAACTTGTCTCTTAATAAAGCCCACCTGATCGTCAGAATGAATGATTTATGATTCACTTCTTGGCAGCCTAAAAGAGGTTGACATATATAGTAAGGACTCAATACATGTTATTTTCATCCCCTTTTTACCTAGATGAAAGGGTATAAATGAGCAAAACAAATGGATCTACCTCAGGTTTTAGTTTTTTGCCAGCTCAGTATGAGTCAGACATATAATGAGATTGCCAAAAAAAGGTAATCTTCAGCAACCTTACTAACTGCTGGATGTGGAGAACAAGGAAGGTGACAGTCTCACTCTGCCCTGAGCCAGCCAGCCAGACACTTCCTGGTAGTCTGGCCACCACATGCTGAAGAGGCCATCAAGAAAATAGAATCACCCTACAAAGAACAGGTTGGAAGAAGTTACAGAAAATGCACGCTAGTGAAAGCAGATTTGAATGAAGTGAAAGTGGTTAGGCAGGACACGACTGACTTTATAAGATAATGATGTCTGACACCTTTCCCCTCAAACCGCAGTCTACAGGAATGGGGCTTAGACATCTGGAGTTTGTAAAAGCTCTCCAGGTGGTTATTACTTACATTAACATTTGAGAATCACAGCTCTAGAACAGTGATTTTCACACTTTAACGTGCATCAAAATCTCCTGGAGGGCTAATTAAAGCACAGGGTGCTGGCCTCCATCCTAGAGTTTCTGATTCAGTAGGGCCTGAGAATTTGCATTTTAATCAATTTCCAGGTGATACTGATGCTGCTGGTCCAGGGACCACACTCTGAGAGCCGGTGCTCTAAAGAAGTCCTAAGATCAATTGGGTTGATTTTAGATTTTAGAGCAACTTTGACAAAACATAAAGGAAACACTATAAAAATCAGCAGTATCCACAAATGGAAGGGACTGGCTGGTGAGCAGAGGCTTAGGCCAGCGCACTGGGAAGGGGGGCCGCCAGGTGATCCTACATCTCTCCCAGCTGGCAAAACTGTAACTTGACTGGAAGCATACAAAGGGAAAGTATGGTTCTGTTTTTAATATTTTCTTTGCCTCCTCAAACCAAAAGACAAATTTAATTTCAAACTCAGTTCTAAGCTTAAAAGTAATGCCTTTAAAAATAGATTGTAATTCCAATCAAATTTCATACAGGGTCTGTCTGCAAGCCAATGGTTAATTTTGCAAGCACCCACGGAGGAAGAATGGATCCATTAAAAAGCCCTTCTTGTGTCAGTTTGCTAGAAAGGAGCGCAATCCTGTCCCAGCAAGAGAGAGAATAAACTCAGTGTGAGAACAATGCGGAACTGCTGAAGGCTACAAAACAAACAAACAAAAGAAACAAGCCCTTCATCCAAGCCCCATGACCTGCTTAAAATGTTTCAATCCACATTTTTACCCAAAATATCATGATCCATTCACTTATATTTTTAAAAAAATTGGGGGACAGAAAAAAGTGAGGTAAAAGTTGACTGGAGCAAAATTACCCCTTTAGTTCCTTGAAATACTCACTATGTACTTCACCATAATTATTGCCAATTGTGTTTCTGAAACTTAAAAGAACAAGACTATGGATTGGTCTGAGTTCTATCATACAGAACTCAATCATGTACTGTAGAAACTGAATTCCTTAAGTCATACAAAGGATGATCTTAGAAATAAATTATCTCACTATCTTAAATATGAAATATCCAATTTATTTGATTGTTCGGCAGAAACTTTGACCAAATTGTTTTTTTTTTTGTTTTTGGACCAAGACATACACTATGACTAAGGCCAAAGATTTCCCCGTTTCTAAACTTATTCAATTTTCACAAAATCCGTCTAACAGAGTATCCTCCAAGCTACCCTGTAAGGTTAAAAGGAGACATCCTCCCAACGTACTTTCTTTCAGCTCAATATACTACCTGTTGTTGGTAGGTGCCGTTGAGTCAGTTCCGATTCACAGTGACCCTACAGGACAGAGCAGAACTGCTAACCTTCTAGGGTTTCCAAGGAGCAGCTAGTGGATTTGAACTGCCAACCTTCTGGTTAGCAGCCACAGCTCTTAACCACTGTGCCAACAGGGCTCCCAATATACTACTAGCCTTGGACTATCAACACTACATTGAATTACTTCTATTAAGTGCTTTTTAAATAGTTGTTTGAGGTTTTACTATCCAAATCTAAGCTCATTCTTCCATAGTTTTTACACTACTAAATCATTTCATCTTCTGATAACATAATGTACTCCGAGGTACTTTCTAACATGCTTTTAAATCAAACACTTACGTGGAAGATATTTTTGAAAATTTCAACTGTAACAGGCATTTCCTCATTAAGCAAAGATTCCCAACATCCGTTCATTTGAGCCCTTGAGCCCCAGATTTCTTTTTAGAAGTCACCTGACGTATATTGATTAACAAAGGTCAGCACACCTCCAACGACATCCTACAAACCTCGAAGTTTTACAATAATTTAAGGCATGTTTAAAGTAGGGCACAAAGTCAGGAAGAAGCAACACCTCACCCAAAAAAGCCCTTTCATAATTTCTGGCCTGAATGTTTAGAGGACTGACTTGAGGATTTGAGTCTACTCTGAAGTAGACATGGGTGTGGATCAGAGTGGACCCAAAACCTCCCAGTAAGTCCCTGAACAAGTGTGGCTTTTTCATAGTATTTTGGCCTGACGGATCAATGTCAGGCAATATTCTGGACACCTGGTCTCTTAGAAACAGCTGGGAGATGACATCACTTGGCCACTTCCCCCCAGAGGTTTACCTCATGGTCAGGTTTTCTTAGAGCATTATCACTGGGGAAAGTCCCTGAGGAAAAGGCCTGGGTTTAATCATCTCCGGATTTCCTCAGCACATGATTAAAATGCTTTGGACACATCAGGCACTCAATATTTGGTTACCAAACAGAAGTGAAAAAGATTGGTTTTCTGGGACTGGCTAAAAATGAAACAGGCCCTTATGTGGCCTCTTCAGCTCTTTGAGCCATATCCCCCTCTATTCAACTTCTAGCTCAAGTCCCACTTCTTCTAACCATCCTTGACTCTCTGAACCAGGGGTCTTCCTCTCTAAAACTCTGACAGGACTTTGTACACAGTATCATTTTCATCATGTGGTGTCCTAATCACCTACTATCTTGGATTGCTATTTAAGTGTTCCTCGAATCTGTGAGTATTCTGAAGGCATGGACTATATCTTATCACTGTTTCATAGCCCCACAGTGTATAGTACTATGCCCAGTAGTTCTTAAAAGAATCCAAGGAGAACACCACCACCAAAAGGCTATCATTGTTTTAAAAAAGCAAAACAGATATATTTACATGACTTATTCATAAGAGAAAAATTTGGTGAGATAGAAAAAGAGAGGGAGAAATAATATGATCCGGCAGGAGAACTTTTGTGTATTAAAGCTGATTTCTTTCTTCAGCTTCTAAGGATAGAAAGGGTAGTAGTCTGCCAGACTACAGAATTAGAAAACACTGCAGAAAAAAATATGTGAAACGATGAACTCTTTTTTTTAGCAGCAAGTTTAACTCCCTGCCCTTTACTCTCCCTGTCCCATCCCAGGAAGAAACCAGTTTTGTTGGATGATGATCTTGCTGATGACGAAAATTACAATTAACGCTTATTGTGCACTTGCTATGTACTCTTTGGCTCTACTGTACGCATTTAATATTCATGCGTGTATTTACTCCTCACAACATCTTTATAAAGTACGCACTCTTGGTCCCTTCGTTTTACAGAAGAAACTAAGATACAGAGAGGTTATATCACTGACCTAAATACACAGCTGGTGACCTGAATCTGAATCTATGTTCTACAATGCCTCCTTGAGAAAACATTTAGTTTGACAAAGGGAGATGCTTCAATGGGGCACCCTTGTGTAACCACAGGTGGTTTCTGCACTTCTAAAAACTGTAGTCCCGCTAATTGCAACCTTTTTGTTTTAAATGGGTTATGGCAACTTGGGGACAGGGCTAAATAATTTAAAATGTTGAGAAGTCATGTTGGAGAACAAGGGGTGTGGGAAGAGAAGGCAAGATGTCTAGCTCCCAGGAGGAACTCTGGGGGAAGAAAAAAGGTGACAAATGCAGATGTCAACTGAGTTTTGTGGGGTGGTATGTGATGTAACTTCTCTTCTCTGGTCCCTCATGGAATTCTGGGTAAAATCTATAACACGAATGCTCGGTAAGTTATGTCTCCTTTTGGGGAACCAGAGGAATGGCGGAGCCCTGCCTCAAGCTAGGCAAATGCATGGGTGAGTACAGCGGCTGTCCAGAGTGACATGAGTCACAGTGAAAAGATAAAGAACAAGTGGTTATCAAGAGGAGGAACTGATTTAAAGTCGCAGGCGTTAATTGTCCTTCAGGGATTAGGAATTGTATAAATATGTAATTGACTCACAAGTATAAAGCAATACAAGTTTTTAAGCTATATTTGCATTCAGTACTTCTAAATGCGATTAAGAATGGCTAGATCTCACCTGTGTAGCCTTCGGAACCTGAAAGATTTGTAGCCTTAAGTGCTGATGTGTCAAAGCAGCTTCATTTCTACTTCCCTTACTACAGACTGCACTCACCTATAGGTGGTTTCAGGAAGGAGATCTTTTATAACGTGGGTGGTGGTATTGCCCACAGTGATACTAGTGTCTCCAAGATCAATGTTGTAAGCAAGGATTTCAGACCCATTATTGCACGGCTCTTCCCAGTTCAGTAAAAGGCACACAGAAGGCGAATCAGGATAGGCGCTGATGGTCTCCTCCTCCAGGACACAGAGAGTGGAGACAGGGTCGGGGGCAGATGCTGGTGTCTGACAGTGGACAAGCTCACTATACGGCCCTGCTCCTGCTTGATTGACAGCCTAAAAACAACAGAGAGACAAAGTCCACATTACACCATTAGCAAGTTCTAATGTCTGTATATTGGGTGCTACTGAACAAATCTAAAGTAATATACAATTTACCTCTAGAAATGAAGGTAGAAATAAACCCTAGAAAATGTTCACTGCAATCTAATGATCACTTTCCAAAGAATGGCAAACACATTTCATTAGGAAAGCAAAAGACAATAACACGGCCATCATCATTTCTTACGAAAAATAATTTTCTAATAACACTTTGTTTGCACGGCCAATTTCAGTTTATCTATTATCTGATGCAATCTTGACAATAACTCTCTGAGGTAGATATAAAACGGCAGGTTATCTTATGCATTTTACAGAAGAAGAAACTTGAGAGACAGATTAAATAACGTGGGCCCCAGATTTAGAGGCCAAGCTGGGACAAGAAATCAGTTCATTTGATTTTTAAGCCTCGTGCTGCCCTGGAACAGTGATGGGAATTTTTGAAAAGATACCTACTATTTTCCACGTGAATGATAAACACATATCTTCAGTCAATTCTCAGCGCCCATGTGTCTTTACCTGAGAGCAATACCTGACACCTTGATCACTCTGCTTTTTCAAATACTTTAGACGTGTCCTCCAGGACCCCACACTCTTGTTTCCTCCTACCTTACCTGCTACTTCTTCTCAATCACCTTTTGCTGGCTGTTACTCATCACTCTGATCTGTTAACACTGGGGGCCCCAGGCTAAGTCCTTGGACACCTCTTTATATTTCTACTCAAATTCCTAAAGATCTCATCCTGTCTCATGAGGCAAATGCCATCTATATCCCATTCTCAAATATATATATGTAGCTCAAATCTCTGCCCTGAACTCCAGTCTAGTGCATCCAACTGTCTCATGAGTATCTCCACTTGCATGTCAAATAGGCATCTCAAACTCAAATGTTTACACTGAGCTTTTAATCTCTCTGCCATTCTCCTTCCAAAACCCTGCACCTCCCATAGTCTTCCCCATCCTCCTAGTCATTGAAGTTATAACCCTGCATCATCCTTGGAGATTTCTTACTCTCATACCCCTAATCCAGGCCCTGAGCACATTCTAACTACACTCTCTCTTACCTGGTTATTGCAATGACCTCCTCACTAGGACCTGTGTTCACCCTTGCCCCATAGTCTATATTCACAACAACCCAAGTGATACTATTAAACATGCGTCAAGATCTTCAGTCCAGATCCCTTCAATGTCGTCTCATCTCATTCAGAATAAACTTGAAAGCCTTTATAATATCCTACAAGACCCTATCTGATGTGCTCACTCCTACCATACTTCCAAAAACCCCATTATCATCACCAACTACTCTCCCCCTCACTCACTCTGCTCCAGCTACACTGGTCTTGTTGCTGCTCTGCAGGTACACCAAGCTTGCTGCCACCTCAGTAACTTTGCACTTGCTGCTCCTTCTTCCAGAAAGCTTTTTTCCCCAGACATCTGCATAGCTTGCTCAATCATCTCCTCCATGCCATCTCACAAGTGAAACCTTTACAGTGAGCTCTCTATGGACACCAAATTTAAACTTGCAACTCCCTCTGCCAAACGCCTATGACTCTCCTCATTTCCTATTTCCTCTTTGCTTTATTTTTCTTTACAGCACTTATTATCAACATAGTATACATTTTATTTGTTCCCCTGATGAGAATTCAAGTCCCATAAGGGCAAGGTTGTCTGTCTAGTTTGGCTCACTGTTGCATCCCAAACAACTAGAATAGAACCTAATACAGAGTATTTGTTCAATGAATGTCACACACACACACACACACACACACACACACACACACACACATTTAACCAACAGAGAAAAACATTTGGCAGCCTCCTGACAAAAGTGAATCTACTTAGAACTCAGTTTTCATTTACTTCATAGGAAAACTTATGAGGACAAATGACAAAACTAAAGGAAAGTAGCTTGAGCTCTTAAATCAAAGGTCTAAAACAAAACTTACAATTCTTGTGTATTGTTAATTTCAAAGCAGGCTAACAGCATTAAAATCATGGTTGAAGCTGTATTGTATTGCATGGTCATATCTAGTCCTGCTTCATGACCACACCTCAACTCTGGTAAAATTTTGACATCACTCATTATTTTAAGAGTATATGTTTTGGGATTTTTTTTTTAGTCACAAATTTATCACAGGGGCAGAAACATATGATATAGTGGTGCCCAATGCTGATATTACCTAAGGCTTTATATCACCATGTATAATAGGAGGAAAAGAACATGGCTTTTGGAGTCAGAGCTTAGCCCAGATCTTCATACCATCATTTACTAACTGTGTGATCTTAGGCAGTGAATCTCTCAGAGCCTGTTTCCTCAGCTGTAAAATAGGCATAGTAACATTTAATTCATGGATTATCGTAAAGATTAAAGCGGTTAACGTAGAACTCTGGGAAAGTGTCAGGTCAGCAGTAGGTACTTTGCTTCCCTCCTTCCCAATGAGAGAAACATAAGCAAAATACAGTGAAATCTGTGAGAGCAGAGCTCGAAGGGACTGCTTTGTTTTTCCAGGTCTCCCAAGTTTTCCACCTTTGACAGAGTGCGGTCTTACCACTTTTCTATTGCTTGTTTTAGTGGAAAATAGGTGAGCTCTCCTTCTCTGACGGGTTTCCGATTTACACAGGTTCTAGCTTTTGCAGTTTTTACTCCAGCATTTTTTCTACTTTTTAAAAAAAACTTTTTAATTTGAACTAATTTTACACTTACAAAGAAGTTGCAAATATATCCTACCACTTTTTCTAATAATGTTCTTTTTGTTTCAGAATCCTATCCAGGATTCCACTTTCTTTTACAAGCTTGGTTCAATGGAAAATGCTTTCTTGATTTAAACCACTGGTTCAAAAGCATGTTTTAGTAAATAATAATGTATCTATAATATACAACATGGCTTCTATAAACAAACAACAACACACGTCTTAGTTCAATCAAGTATACGAGACCAAATGGGCAACACCTGCCCAAAAGCAAAGACGAGAAGGCAGGAAGGGGCAGGAAAACTGGACAAATGGACACGGAGAACCCAGGGAGGAAAGGGAAAGGGGGAGGGCACTGACATATTGCAAGGATTGCAACCAATGTCACAATATAATACGTGTATATGTTTTTCAATGAGAAACTAATTTGCACTGTAACCTTTCAACTAAAACACACACATACATACACACACACAAATATACAATATGCCTCATGTGACAAGAATTACTTTAGTATTTCTTAATTAAAATATTTCTAAGGAAAATCAGAAAAAATACTGAGCAAAACAAGTAAAAAAACCTTCACTCAATTTTTATAAAACCACAGTACAGGTATTACAATAATTTAACTTCTAAGGAGCCAAATATTCAAAGGCATATTTAGATTCAACCTGACTTTACAGTAATAATGTCAAATGAAAACAATTCATATTTGGTCCATGTATAGCAAGAAACCAATGTAAGTTGAGGAGTCCCTTTTGGCAATATTTCTTTAGAAGAACAATGGCGGTCTTAAAAACATTGTCTCCTTCTTTGGGTCTGCCTCATTTATGACAATTAAGTATACAGATTTGAAAATATTTTCTACTCTGGACTGTAAAAACAGGGAGGCAAGAGTACTATGTGGGCTCTGTTTCTTATCAGTCTATCTTTTAACATGTACCTTTGGGAAGTCAATCCTAAATGACAACATAACCGTGAAAGGAAGAGAGTAGAAGAACATTTCAAAGAGACTCAAAATGCAAAAAGCAGAGAGGCACGAGGCTACTTACTGTGGTGGCAAATAGTTCTTTATTTATATCCTGCCTTGTCCCACAAACAGTGTGGCACGTGATTTTACCTTTTCCCTATTGTAAAGATCAGGTAATGTGCTGTGACCCTGACTCAGTGACCAAGGGTTAATTATGTCCTATGTACTCCCTTCGAGAGGGAGGGAAGGAAGGTGTATAACAAAAGAGTAGCAATCAGAAATGGTTTATGATAAAGCAGTCTTCATAATTTAACAGACAAGCTTCAGTTGCCTGGAAAATTAACTTATGAAGGGAATATTTTCTCCAGAGAGGCCAGAGAAATGGGGTGTTGTACTTGGAATGAGCAATTTAATACATTGCTTCAATCAGGCGGAAACCTAAATCTAGCATCTTGGCTTCTTTATTTAGTAAAATGTAAATGTGTGTGAAGACAGAACTCTTCAAGATCAAGCACCACATCTGATTAATCTTTGTATCCTGATCCTGATCATCGTGATCATCCTTTGATGCTGGCACAAAGTAGTGCTCAAGAAATGTCACTGAACACATGGAAGTAAATGGACAAAGATCCTTATTTTCTCATCAAGATAATAAAACTAGGCAAAGGAGAAAAATCATTTATCCAAGTCAAGAAAATGAATTAAAAATAAGCCCAAGATTACTGTCATCTTAGAGGGTAGGCTACGAGCCTGTAACTTTGTTCTTGACCTTATTCTGTTTGGGCTCCGCTGTGGAAGTTTATAGATAATCAGCCTTGGTAACGGTCACTGAGGTGTGAGGCAGGGTCCTGTAATCTAATACAGGCCAGTCTCAATCAGTTTGTTTTTGGCTCCATTTAGCCAGCCGGCACATGAATTTTCTGTCCTTTGCCAATTCTAAGTAGCTTCCTCATTGAAATGTGCATCTCAGGGGAATTCAAAGAGAAGGCATCTTCCCTACGGAGCTGTGCTCGCCTTTCCCTTGGACTCGGCCACTTTATTCAGTGACTTTACAAGCAAGATGCAAGGGCAGCGGGAAGTAGAATGGAAAAGAATCTGGTTTTGTTCTTAAATTTTAGGACCTCCCAGACAAATAGAGATTAATTAGAAAACAGCAAAACAACTAAACTTGTCTTAATTTAAAGGGACGCCTTTTTCCCTCCTAAAACCTACCAATCCCTCCTAATAGCTTCTATTATGAGCCTCTGAGTAAGTTTGCCAAAGTGGCTTTCATGGAACACCAGTGTTTGTGAGTAATGTCTGCAGTAATGTCAACCTACCTGTAGTCTACAGCAATACTGTGCAGCAGGCAACAGATCTCTTATTTCAAAGCAGGTTTCTGTTCCATGATAAACGAGTTCTAAGGAGTCTTCATCTTCTCCCCATTCCAATCTGTACTCTGAGATGTCGGCACCGGAACTTTCAGGACTCTGGAAAACAGACATTTAAGTAGTAGATTAATTTCAGCTACAAGAAAATCCTACTATGTTTGTGTTCCACTAATTTGAAAGGGAAGACAGCAAGATGCCCCAGGATATTTCAAAAACATACAAAAAGCATGAAGGGACACTCAATTTCCTTCCAATTATGACCAGTGGTAAAATGTTCAAAACTCAAAATGATACAAGAAAGTGCCAAGGGAAATTACGGCGTATAGAGGGAAAAAAAAATCACCTACATGCTCATTTTGGCTTTGTAGGTTCATCATAGCTTGCATTTAGGGTGAAGTAGAAGGCACAGAAACTTATGTAGAATATGTGCCTGACTTACCTCCCAACTCACCAGGACCCAGCCATCAGGCGTACAAGAAATACAAGGTGCTCTGCATTGTCCAGGTGGTCCTGCAGCAGTGGTGATTTCTGATACATCAGAATAGGGACCATACTGAAAAAGAAAACACACACATCTTGTATGTACGTGTATGTATGTTTTTGTGAATGTGTTTGCATCTAAGAGCTCATAACCAAACAAGGGTAGTTGTTGTTAGCTGCTGCCTAGTTGTCCTCCAACTCATGGCGACCCAACACATGATGGAATAAAACACTGTCCAGTCCCATGTCATCCCCACGATCAGCTGGAAATAGATCACTAGGCCATTCTTCCTAGCCTGTCTTAGCCTGGAAGCTCCACTGAAACCTCTTCAGTAGGACAGCAACATGCAAGCCTCCAATGACAGATGGGTGTTGGCTGTGCATGAGGTGCACTGGCCGGGAATCAAACACGGGTCTCCGCATGGAAGGTGAAAAGTCTACCACTGAGCCACCAGTAGCTGATCATCAAAGCATTTATTACCAAATATTACCTAATGGCTTTTACTTTCAAGTGAATGTATATTAAATACGGTTTTCTCCTATATACATTCTCTGTGTGTTAAAAACCTATTACATATTTTTTTTATTCAAAGGGATTAGAAAGTTGGTTTATTAACCATTTTTCCTTTACAACAACATCAGAAACAAAAACATACTGATTCTTGACTGACCACTGCACTGTGCTTTCACGTTTCTCAGGGAATGTCGATGAAACTAAGTCAGATGCACGCTGCAGTTTAATTTTTAATGCATAAAAATCTACTGAGAATTGTTAGTTGATCATCAAATTCTGGATTTCTTCTAGTTACTGGTATTTTTTGTTTTGAAATCTAATGTTCCTGTAACACTTTCTCAGTGTGTCCCCACCACTTCAATTACTAAAGGTTTATACTGCACTCCTCTTTCCTTCATATTACCATCAGTGACCATGCTGCTCGGAGTCAACAATCACTAGAGACTTAGTACATTGTGAGAGAGCTGTAACCAGCCATTTTAATATGGAACAGGTGACACTCTACAGAGTAAAATAAAATAATTTCCAGGCTAATGAACTCTGCTTTTCAAAATGGACAAAAAGATTTAAAATAATAACTTCTCAATTTTCCAACATAACTTGCAAATATACTTGAGGGGTATGTGAAAGCTTTCTGAAATAGGCCTTAGAGAATGACTACAAGTCAACTGTTCGGTTAACTTTCAATGTAACAGGAAAAAACCAAAGTTGAAGATATTTTCTATGACTAATCAGTGAAAGAGAGAAAGTAAAACTCAAACCAGTCCAGCTACACATTTATCTCTGTTACGACAGAGATGCCCTAAAATGCAGATGGGGAAAAGGGCAAAAACAAGAGTAAAATAAAGTTTCTGTAGCATCTGTGATCACAGCCAGCCATCCCTTTTTCACTTACATGATTACAAGTTTGGGTGCACAGGCTTTCTTACTTTCTCACCAACATATTTTTATTGTTTTGTTTTCTCTTTTAACTTAAATATCTGTGCTGTGTCTGAAATTTTTCCTAAATAACAATTAGAAGATATTTAGATCTTACTTTAAATCTCAGATCATTAGGAGTTAAATTTTTACAGCCAGTGGTGGCTAGCATGGAACTGACTAAAGACACACGATTTTCACTTTGAGAGGCTTGAAAACGACTACAAGAAACTAGAAAAGGTCACAGCCAGTTGGGTGTCACTGTCAGTTGGGCTTTCTCATTTTATTTTATAATTAATTAATTACATCTGTTTATTTGCATGGACCTCATGTATACAAATCACTAGCAGCTTCGGGCGGTGGGGGGGGGGGGGTTAGCATCAACCTGCTTTACTCACACCATTCCACCCTCTTTTATGTGTCTGCCCATCTCCAACATACCAAAAAGCTCCAGTTTCTGGGTCACCTAGTTTTCATTATGAATCTCCCCAAATCCACATCGCTTTCCTTTTTTAAAAAACAAACAAAGCACCACTCTGGGTATAACACAGATATATATACTCTGAATCTCTGATACCTCACCTTGACAACTCAAAATGGAGCAGAGGGAAGAAGGGCTGGAGAGCTCCCCAATCTTCACTTGAAACAAAACACAGATAAGCTGGCCTACCTAGCCTCTACCTGCTCCATTTTTAAAAACTGAATTAAGACATTGCTTGTTAATTAAAAATACAAAGTATAGAAATATTATGTGGTCCTAGTTTCCTTGAGTATAGTCAACCAGAGAATAGGAAATTATTCTAAAAACTACCAAATGTATCTATAGGGTGATGTTCTCATTTACTTTGAGCTCTATCTTGATAGATTGATATCAGGACAAAAGAAATGGAAATTTTCCAGTGCTGAGTCTACGTGCAATCACAATTCAGAAATAAGATTTTATATATACTTCTTTAATGGCTGTTAAGGTTGGATAGATACTGCTGAGGAATTTTAGGGGAGTAAAAATCCAAGAAGCTTGTATTCTGACTAAGGTGTAAGGTCTTAGACTTACCCCTCCATCATTCAGAGCCCTCACCCGGAAACGATACACAGTTCCGGGAAGCAGGTGCCCAACGGTGCACTCCAGGTCTGGCCCGTGGTACACCTCCGAAGCTACATCCTCAGGTTCCGTCATCTCCACACTGTACTCTGAGACCTCACAGCCACTTTCAGATGCAGGAACATCTGGAAATGCAGAATTATTTTCTTTTCAGAACATTTTTGTGCTTCCAGGTGACCAAACCACACGAGTTTCCACAAGTTTTGCAAAATGTAGGTGGTCTGTCGTCAGTACTTCTCTTACACAAGCAACCCCTCTCCAAAAAATGAAAAAAAGGAAGAATGTGAAACAAAAGAGAAAGTTTCTGAATGATGTTGCCCATACTTTCTACACAGCATGAACGTTTTTAAAAATTACCGTACATTTGTTAATACAATAACTGCAAAATAATAGGAGCATTATGTAAATTTCCTTACGTGCTAATACAAGGTAAAGGGAAAAAAATAGAGGGAAGAAAATCTTCTCTTTAACTTGAAGCCAAAGGCTACTAATACTGTTTTGTTAAATGAAGATGTAGGATACCAAACTGGCACAATATTTTATAATGCTTTAGACACAAATGGTGTGAAAAATAGTCTCCTACAGTTCTATAGGTTTATACTTGCAATTTCACATGATGTCAACTGCTGATACAACGGGGAATACTAATATAGCTTCAGTAAATACTGAAAAAAACACCAGGACCCACACACGACAAAGCAGCAGGGTTACATACATAGAGAGGAGGAGGAATTAGCTCTCACTCTAGGGAACATTTCTAGGTTTAATGTCTAAACTGAGCACAACTTTCCTTTTATGAATAAAGCTGAAAAAATCCTGAAAAAGACTGGCTGCTCTGAAACATCCTCTGGAAAAGTAACCTACAAAGGGTAGAGGATGAACAGTGTGTTTGGCACCATCAGGAATAAGAGGATGACAGACAGCCAAGGGGGAAAATACAAAACCATGCCAACATACATTAAGAAGACTATGGATATATTCAATAAGGGGGAAAAAAAAGGTTTTCAGAATGAAGATTTGAAATTTAATTACCAACGAGTAAAAGTCTTAAACTCAAACTCAAATTGTCGATGTTCACGTGAAGATTTGTTCACTCACCCCACTCTAAGTGGACTTCTTTGTGCTTGGGTCTACCCAAAACCCTCGGTGGTCGACACTGACCTGGTGCAATGCTTAGTGTGCGAACGGGCAGACTTTCAGAACACTGCAGGAGAAACACCGGAGAGAATCATCTCTTAGTACCGTGAATCATTAGACCGCTACATACCAGGCAAATTCCACCCCATAAATGTAAACACTACCAAAAGAGGGCTATACACTGAACAGGTACACACGTTACCATATGCTTTTTATGATATAAAAGGTGTGCATTTTAATTATAGATATATGCTGCATATGAAACTGGTAAAAATAAGAATGATTATTTCTGAAGTCAGATTAGTACATATGAGTGTTGTGTATCCTAAGCACACAATCATTTTCCTCTATACCCAAAATGGAAAGACGCTTCATGAGGACAGAAAAGAACACAAAACAACAGCTGGATGAAATTTTAAAATAGTGTCATACCAAATTCCCTGAGGGACTGAATTCCTGGGCGGAGGGCTGTGGGGACCATGGTCTCGGGGAACATCTAGCTCAACTGGCATGACACAGCTTATAAAGACAATGCTCTACATTCTACCTTG